CTTTTTTACTTTTTTACTTTTTTTATTTTGTGGATTTTTCTGCAGCTCCGTCTCCAAACTTTTGTACTCTGATTCCAACTTCTTTTGAGTTTGTCTGTTCTGCCTATTCTTTTTCCCTAAGTATGTCCTTACAAGGCCTCTGATATATGCTTTGCAAGTGTCCCATACGTTCTGTAATGATACGTCCTCCTTTCTATTTTCCTGGAAGAAATATGTCAATTCCTTTTCCATTTATTGCTGAAAACTTTTTTTTCAATATTCTTGGATTTAAAGTCCATTCCCCCCTTTTCCTCTGCCCCTTCCAAGTCATTGTTATTGGATTATGATCTGCTCATATGCTTATATGTCTATCTTAATTGTTTTGAGAGTTAGTTTCAAAATTCTTTGAAAAAAAACCTTGACCTCATCTTTTAATGATTTCAATAATCAAAAAGATTAAGAGAGTTTGGGCAGCTGAATGGAGCTGAGCGTTTACTGGACGGATGCCCTCCCTGACACCAATGCGGAGTTCTTTTCAGCAGATATATTCTCATTATGCCCAGAGAGAGAAATATCTGCCTCTCCCTAGGTTCGAACTCATAGCCTCCTGATTGTGAGGTGAGAGCTGCACCTCTAGGCCACCACACCACTCACATACCATTACTACATAAAGGTAGCATATTGTAACGAGGTGAACCATTTTTGTTCCAGGGGAAATACACTTCAAAGCAAGCGCAGAGGCCGTGACCTCAGATCAGCTCTGTGGAAATGAAGTAGTGGAGGTGCCCAACGTTGGAAACAAAGAAACCATGATCAAATCATTATTAGTTGAGGTATGTGGGATGCTTTAAAACCAGGATGGGTAATGAGGGGACACAGACGTCTGGGTAAAGCAATATTGGATATTTGTGCTAAATGTCAGAGATGATTCTAAGGAAAATACCAACAGCCAACAATTTATCCCAGTTAGTAGAATTTCCCAGGCTAAGAAAAGAAGCTGTGAGATCACTTACCTGAGCTCTGGAGTGCTGCTCCTTGGGAGAAGATCTGAAGGGATCTTGTTAGTGATCTATTTATCTCCCCCCCCTCTTTTTTGCTTTCTTCTCCTTTGGATTACGAATCTTACAATAGAAAACATGGCTGCTATAAGAAAGGCAACCAAAGGGGCAGAAATGACTACAACAAAAAGGGGATCTTTTTAGAAAGCCAGCAAACGACAGAAAAAGGGAGGAGTCAAGACTTTACATAAAAAGGGTTTTTATGACACTGACATCCCCGAGAATCTGCTGAAGACGTTACCTAGCCTGGCAATGAAAAGTTCGGAAACCAACCCACAAGCTCGGAGAACGAACCTTCACCCTCAGAAATCACCTTGTTCGGAAACAACACAAAGCAATTCTGTTTGAGCTTCCAGTGATATGAATTCTAAATGCTCCCCTTGATGGTTCACCTCTCTTGTTAATTGTTTCAACTGCATTTCCTCTTGGTGCTCGTCTACTTAACTCAGACGTTATGTCCACAGCGATTTTTCTAAATGACTCTAACACTCCCGTTCACCTTTCCCTTTTTCCTTCCCTTCCTGTTCCGGTGAAGCCTGAGGGAATCGAGAAAGAAGTGGTGTTCAACTCTCTTCTCTGTGCACCAGGTATGTTGTGTCAAGGTTCCAAGTAATATATTGTCAGTCTAAAAAATGCAAGGCATCCATATCAGTGGTGGGTTCCTAACCGGTTTACTACCGGTTCGCTGACAGGACATTTTGTGCATTGCGGAACATACACAGTTGACTGAAAACTGTTCTGCGCATGTGCAGAAACATGCCGGTGATGGCAGAAGAGACCGGGGAACCAGTTCGGGGGCATGGCAGGCCTGGGTCGCTGCTGGTTTCAGCAACCCAGGCCGCCATACCACTACCCGTTCGGCTGAACCAGGCTGAACCGGTAGGAACCCACCACTGCTCCATCTTTCTCTTCAAATCTCTTTAAGGTAAAGGTTCCCCTCACACATATGTGCTAGTCGTTCCTGATGAGTTATGCTCATCTCCATTTCAAACCCGAATAGCCAGCGCTGTCTAAAGACATCTCTATGGTCATGTGGCCGGCATGACTAAATGCCAAAGGTGCACGGAACACTGTTACCTTCTCACCAAAGTGGTCCTTATTTTTCTACTTTCATTTTTACATGCTTTTGAACTGTTAGGTTGGCAGAAGGCGGGACAAGTAATGGGAGCTCACCCCATTACGCAGCACTAGGGATTCGAACTGCCAACCTTTATGATCAACAAGCTCAATGTCTTAGTCTCTTTATTAGGAGCCTATTAAATTGGCAAGGTCTTGGTGTAATTCCGGCTCTGACCAAACCCCAGAATTACACTACTGAAATGTGGCGAGCCTGAAGCCCTGTTAAATCCGTTTGCAGAATATCTATAGAAAGCTTAGAAAAGTATAGGAAATGGCATGCCGGCCACATGATCACAGAGACATCTTCAGATGAAGAGTGCTGGCTCTTCGGCTTTGAAACGGAGATGAACACCACCCCCTAGAGTTGGGAACAACTAGCACATATGTGCGAGGAGAACCTTTACTTTTACCATACACATATGTCAGCTTAAGAATCGACAGTTCGCTCCTGTAGACACAGATTTCATTTCATTTTTCATTTTTTTTCATTTCATTTATTAAGACTTATAGGCCGCCCTTNCTATGAAGTGGTATATAAGTCTAACTGCTATTGCTATTGCTATTGCTAACCTAATGAAACTCCCACAGTGGAGAAAGGAATTTTGAAAATATCCAAATTTGCTCTTTTGAGTAGAGAGAGAAAAAACAATAAAACCCTTTTTGAAAGACTGGACACCTCACATGGATTTTTTGCTAAAAAAAATGTCATAATTTCTGGTTTTGAGGATTGAAGAAGATGTGGACTAAGTGAAGGGTTGAAGGAATTTGTAGAGTAACTAACAGGGAGGGAAGGATATAACATTTCTCCATCAGTCTAAAAGCCCAAACTAACATTCGTTTCCTAGTCACATGGATAAAACTTTCCTTTCCTTCAAGGGACCAAGCAAGTAGATCTTTATGGGGCTGTTCAATACAACTGAAAACAGAAATTTCATTTGCAATAGTGGTGAACATCTGTAGCTCGGGTGTAGAATGAGGATGAAAGTTCGTTCTCTGAGCTTCTGGGTTGGTTTCCGAATGTTTCGTTACCAGGCTAGATAATAAAATTACCAAACTCCCCTAAACTCCACTGAAGATGTTATGCAGCCTGGTAATGAAAAGTTCGGAAACCAACCCACAAGCTCGGAGAACGAACCTTCACCCTCAGAAATTACCTTGTTCGGAAACAACACAAAGCAATTCTGTGTTGAGGTATCCAGTGATATGAATTCTAAGTGCTCCTCTTGATGGTTCATCTCTCTCGTTACTTGTTTCAACTGCATTTCCTCTTGGTGCTCGTCTACTTAACTCAGACGTTATGTCCACTGCGATTTTTCTAAGTGACTCTAACACTCTCCGTTTTTCCTTCCCTTTCTTTTCTGCTGAAGCCTGAAGGGATCGAGAAAGAAGTGGTGTTCAACTCTCTTCTCTGTGCACCTGGTACGTTGCCCTTGTAGACACAGATCTTAACTTACTCTAAATGCTCTTTTCAAAAAGAATATCACCACCTCCCTAACCCAGACATTCCTGAAAGCCTAGATGAGAGGAAGGAGTGGGGGGAAAGGATATAAATATTGGAAGTGGTCTCTTGAACAATTTGATTCCTGCCAAAATCCCTATTGTAGCTTAAATTTCTAAGCAGAACATATACCAAGAGTCCAGTTAGAATAGCAGTGCAAGGGACACCATGATCTAACTTCTGCTTCTCTTTTATAGGAGAACCCGAGTCCAAATCTTTTCCTCTGACGTTACCGGAGAATGTTGTAGAAGGCTCAGCCAAGGCCTCCTTTTGTGTGCTGGGTAAGTGAGATACCGTGCTACACAATTTGGAAATTAATTCTGTCCTTACCACATAAGGTCCCTGGGTCAGTCTGGAAGCTGCTCCAATTCCATAGACAAGTAGTCCTTGACTAACTACAGTTTGTTTAGTGACGTTCGAAGTCACAACAGCATTGAAAAAAGTGAGGGATGATCCATTTTCACACCT